CGCTACGTTCCCGCAAGGCAAGTCCCTCTGCAATGGGAACGAGCATTGCAATACGGGGTCGGAGCAGAGTATTTCGGTAACAAGCCTCAGCTGGTTACTGCTGTTCAGAAGAAAGAAGACGCAAAACACAACCAAGGACTGAACAATCTGCACAGCCTCAGGAGATCTTCAGACACAGTGGGTTTTCAATCCAGATGCGAGCTGGTTTCCACCTCTTTAACAACTGTTTCTCTTCAGAAACCCCACTGACCCTTTGGACTGCACTGTGGCCACGAGCCTCCAAGTTCTCCATGCCCCGTGTGAAGGTGTCACGTTGATCTGCGGATGCAGAGGGCTGGACATCACTGAGGAGGCCCCGAACAAGAAAGCTCACCCTGGATCGGGACCAGCATTATGAAACTCCACCGACTGTTTTGAAAACTTGCCACTGTTTTCTAGGAGGAGATGATGAAAACAGGGCTTTTTTTGCTCCGGGCAAGGTTTTTGCCCAGCTTTGTCAAGGGCAAACCGCTCCGCCTGTGCTCAGCGACTAACGGGCAGGTTTCTGGCGCTCTCAGCCAAGAGAGCCTCCCACCGCACGGGGACCACATCTGATACAACCACCTGGGGCAGGTGACAGCAGCCTCTCTCCTACCTCCTCTGGGCTGCGAGTTCTGTTGACACAACACCATCAAAGGCACCTTTCCCCTCAGCTCACAAGGGGAAACCTGATCCTCGAACTCCAGCGGCTCCTACTCAAAGCGCGGAGGGGACCTGGGGGAAGAACAGAGCCAAGAGGAACCAATGTGGGAGAGGTTTTTTTGCACACTTACTGCATCGAGTTCAGGCTGCCCAGGAGGTTTTAAGTGCAAACTTCAGGCTGACAGTCTCTACTCATTTTCAGGCTAAAGCAGTAAGACACAGGGAGGATCAGCTGCTCTGATACGGCTACGTCTTGATGCTGTGAACATGGACAAAGCGGATCAGAGCATCTAGTGAATGAGTTTTGCCTCCAAGACTGTTTTTACCCTGAAACCCTGTGAAAGAGATGAGAAGCTTTCACATCTCCCCAGCAAAAATGAACACAGCATGACTGCAGGGGGACAAAAACACCAGGAAACAAGTCCTGAGGAGTTCTACCCTCCCGGCGGAAGGGTGGACGCGGGGCTGGCTGCACAGCGAGCCTTTTCGCAGCAAACAGGAAAAGCGGAGCCGCGAGTCTCCTGAACTCCCCCGATATCATAGCCTGGCAGTGGGAAAACACACTGCCTCAAGGGGGGAACCGGGGTCTTTCCAGCTCTCTGGCCTTCCCAGGTGGTCACAGGGGTGATGGTGGCAAAGGGGGGGGATCACGCTTGGCTGAGGATGATAAGGCACAAACAACAGGGAGGATGCACAGACCCAGCAGGACTTCAGCAAGCGTTCGTCTCCCTGTGAAGATCTGGTCTTTATATCATCATTTCTTATTTTATAAGCACAGTAAAAGACTTCGTTTAAAAAAAAAAGCTTTCCACCTCTGTTTCTGGGAGCATGGGCAAAACTACCATTATTTTTCTCTCCAATTCAAAAAAAGGTATTTCCCAGTTTAGTATACGGTTCTGGCAGACTGAAGCCAAGTGCAGGGCTCCTGAGGAATATAAACTAACAAATACAGGAAAGGAGAAAGCCTGCAGAAACACACAGTCTGAAATAGCACAGGCAGGCCAGAAGGATAACTGCCTGGGGATACGCTTTCAATTCTGTCTATTAATTATCCCCTGCAGCCTGAGGTTGTCATGAACAGGAGACACAGACAGCGGCGCAGGGCCTGGGTCAGCGCTGATGGCCGAGGCAGCCTCTCCCAGGACCTGCCGGCAGTTTGCATCGCAGAGATGGCAGGGATCTCCTCGAGAGCGTTTCACAGACCCGCACGGAAACAGGACAAGCCTTCCCTGCCACCGGCGCAGCAGATCCAGGGCTAAATCCTAGGTTAGCAACTCCAGGCATCAGCAACCCCACGCCAAAGCCCTCACCACGGGAACCCCTGCGGCTCCTGCATCACCCATCGCACTGCGTCCTGGGAGTCTCCGTTTCAGAGGGGTTTTGGTTTCTGTCCCGGCTGTTTCAGCTGTACAAGAGCTCGTTTCGGCGGAGCACCAGAGGACTATCGCCGCCAAAGTCATCCTGCCTGCGCTCTCGCTGCAAGAACGGCGTGCTGCAGCTTGAGTTACGGAGGAGTCAAGACTAACTCTTGCCTCTAGCTGAATAAACAGACTCCAGCGTAAACCACCTCCAGTCCTCCATCAGATTCTCCTCTGTGCAGATAGGCTAAAAGTCAGAGAAGTGCCCAGATTAATTATGCAAATAAAGGCAAAGAAAGCATCCCCAACAGATGGAGGAAGGCATCTGCCTCCCAGGGACCACCTACCCTGGGATAACATTGCAGGCTTCCCACATAATACGGGCCATTAATTATTGCTCCCCTCCTGCTCCAGCAAGACTCATATGTGGGAGTGAAGGCGGTGGAAAGTAGCTCCAAAGTGGCCAGAAGAGCTTGAGGGAGAAGAGTTTAGAGACATTCCTCTTCATGTTCCGAAAATAGAGATCCTGCTGCCTTACCCTCTCTTGCAGAGCACTACACCGCACCAGCACAAAGCACTACATAAAAGCTAGGCATTAACTCTCTTGTTCTGCTCCAGCCTAATAAGTAGAAAGTCAATGCCATTGTTTTAGATCTAAGCGAAAAAATACTTTGAAACCTCAAAAATTAGGGTTTTCTGAAGCAATTATCTCCCTCCTCCGTCTCCGAGACTAAAGAAACACGGGCTAATTATTTCTTTGAAGGCTAAATATTTACTCCTAGATGAAGTGCAGCAGCTCAGGCTGGAGATGAATTACCCAGCTCTGATGTCATCTAATGCCTCCAAGTAAGAAAACCCAAATGAAAACAGGTAGGAACAAACAACAACAAAAAAGGGTGTTTTCTCCTGGAAAAGCCCTTCAGAGAGGGGAATGGGATGAAGCTGTTCCAGCTCACCTGAGCTGCGTACAAAGCATTTAGCATGGCCCTGGCACCACAGTTCTGTTCCCTTTAGATCGCTGTACCCAGGTCTCATTAGATCAGATGCCCATGCTTAATGAGGGCACAAGTAGAGCATGATCAAATGTCTCTGAGCAAGAAGTGGCCTTCTGGAAAAGCCACGGTCTTATTCTGGAGCAAGACCTACCATAAAGAGTCCGTAGGGCCAGGGCTGGGAACTCCTCCTCAACCTCCACGAGCAATTAGCCCGCACACACAACGAGCGTTAATCAATCAACGTCATCTCTTCTTTTACAAAAAATCCCTCCTGCCTTATTTATGTCTGACTCCCGAGTTTCAAAGCTCTCTGCTTTTGCCCCCTCCAGTCACTATTCTTTCCCAGGCAGCGGGTGCCAACCCTCTGGTTAAGGGCACCAAAAAAAAATAAAAGCAGCAGCTATGTGTAAGAAACCACCACCGGCACAAGCGCGGGGTGACTCATCTCCTCTGAAGACGGAGGAACAAGAGCGCTCTCTGTTCGGTGAGACTGCCTGAAGTTTCAGTTGCGATCCCATCTCGCTACATGCGCTCATGACAGCATGCAGAAATATTTCCTCGGGGGATCTTCCCATGGGACTTAACTCTGACACATATTCCCACAGGACTCGTTCTTTTAAAAGTGTTATTTGTTAGTAAGGCAGTGGGAATTTGACTTTACGAAATACCAAGAGAGTGACTGAGCAGAGCTGGGTGCCGGCGGCTGGACTCGTTAACGCGACTGCGAGCCGTGCCCTGCATTCAATCCGACGGAAGAACTCGCTGGGCTGCAAGAATAGACGTCCTGGGTCAGAGCAGAGGTCTGCATCGCCCGGTATCCTGTTTATGCTACCCATGGCCTCCTCTCCACCCCTGAGCAGAGGCAGAGTGCTACGGCAGAGAAGGAGGAAGAGCGAGAGCCGGTTTCCACATACGTGTAGACTCTGGTTTGTTCTCTTCCTCCATTTTAAGTCCAGGACTACTTAATTCTCACCTGTAGGCATCATACAGTGGATGTGCAGAGGCAAAAATCAAATCAAAATATTAAGGCTTGCATAGACTGATCCCCAGCAAGCGGTCATCAAGCACCAAGTTACATGTCAACATTTCAAAGTGACATTCAACCAATTCCCAGATTACATCAGTACGCAGAAACACCTGAATTTTGGAGGCATTTATACAGAAAAAAAAGTTAGGAAAATATTACTTTAAGTGATGACTGAGTAACCCACAGTGCTTAGAGCACACGAAGCAGGGTCAGAGGCAGTCTGCACCCAAGCAGACACGTCAGCAAGGAGCGCTTAGTGGATGCTGAGCTCCTTTCCCTTTTGTTCTTCCCTCTCTTCGTTAAACGTAAAGCTTTTGCTGAAACGGCTCGTTTAATACTGGCTTCCCTCCCACAAAGAGCTTCCCCCAATTCTTCTGCTTTTGTCAAAGTTCTTCTAGTCAAATTCAGAAATATAAGAAAAACAAGCGTGCTGTGTGTGACGTTTTGAGTACAAAAACCAGTGTGGGAAATCATTTGTGGCGTTTTCCTGCCCTGCTCCGAGCGTGTGGACGGCAGGAATGTACCTGTTTTCCCACGCTTCTCTCGGTTGCTGTGGGTAGCCCGCACGGGCATGTCTCCTCCACTCCTCAAAATACCTGAAGTGGCAGCTACCATATTTATTAAAAGAAATAAAATCTCAGCTTTGGGACAACGATTCTTAGCAACAGAGGCTCTCGTGGCCGCAGGTAAGTGTCACTCATCCTGCACGGCACAAACCAACACTGAGCAGCCACCCCAGACAAAGAGAAACAACCCAGCGCGGTGCTGCAGACATGAGGGTACGCATCGTCTGTGGCAAAAAAAAAAGAAGGCTATAACCTGAAAACTAGTCAGATAATGGTAAAATACATGGGGAAATGGAGAATCAGACCAGGCAGCCCTGGGGACAGGGTAAGTTCTGATAAAGCCAGGGGGAGCTGCACATGTGCCACCTCTCACCTGAAGCCAGGGGCCGGATCCACTCCTTGCTGTTGAGGTCAAGTCTCCAGAGGTCGTTGAAGGCGGCGTTACAACTGCTCTGCGTGCAGCCACCGAACACGTACATCGACTGGTTGGCGTCATAGTAACACGCACCTGGAAAAAAGCAAAGGCACAGGTTAGCCAAGTCTCTGACCTTCACGCTTTTGGGTGAGAAAAGGATCATTTTCTCTTCCCCCTGGGTTTCAGATGGGAGAAGAGCAGACAGGCTGCCCCGACTTCAGTAAAACCATGGCCCAGCTTAGGGGTATCCCTGACCAGTGTCAACCTCCAGCAAGAACTTTCCAAGACGATTATCCCCTCAAGTAGAGCTGCTCCTGAAAGTGCAAAGAAAGCCGCCTTACAAGCTTGTAGTTAATTAGATTAGCGATGATTAACGCACTCAGCACACTTACCTTCTCTAAGCTAGTTTGCATGGCTTATAGGGTTACCAAATTGGACTAAAAAGCTGGCCTGGGTATCTAGACCTGGTCGCTTATTCTCTTTCTCCAAATCTGACAGCATTTCACCCTATCTCATCACAGAAGAGCACCACTGAAACACATGTGTCTCACATGTGAGCATCCCCTTTGCTCCTTCCGGGAAAGGATTAGGCAGCAAGATGGGGAATGGGGAGGGAACATGACACTTGACAACCCCTTAAAGATACCCAGGCAAATAAAGAGCTTTTGGCCCCAAACCAAACTCTGCAGCAAAAAAATAAATTATGCAAGCATCTGCCTTTGGTAGTTAACGTCCCGTGGTACCCAGGCACCTCTGACAAGAAGTAAACTAAACATAAGATAGAGCAGAGAGGACTTGCTCAGCTTATCTGCCTTGAAGGACGAGCAAGATTCAAATGTGTTCAGAAAGTTAAACCCCTGCAATTACAAAGAGGATTTCCCAATTTCTGCATATCCCTCCTCAAACACAACGAGCCCCATTGACTTCGCAGGATGACCCCTCGCTTTTCATGTTCTTGAGATCCCTGCAAGGCAGTGGCATCTCTTCCGTGCCTTGCCTAACTCATGAGAAGCCCGACGAGCGCCCGATTGCGATGCCAGAAGAGCAAGAGCTTCCTTCGGCGGCAGCTTTGATAGACCAACTCACACCAGCTCCTAAGCTTGCAGGTCAAGGATCAAGGAGTGAAGGTGGCTTCAGCTCCTGGGCTGGTCTGGGTGACCGGGCAGCAGGCTCGTCTGCCTCCGCACCCTCCGAGCGGCTGGGTGCTGCCTGTGCCGCTGACCTGCATGCGACGGCAACGTGTTTTGAAATTCAGTCCTCCTTTGACCTGACATAGCCTGAAACATCTCAGTTCTTGGTTTTTCTGTAAGGTTCTTCCCTTTCTTTCCCCAGAGCTTTGCTACAAAGTGTGCGGCGTGGCTGGCAGGAAGGGCAAGCTTGATTCTGCAGCCTCGATCTGCCCGTTGGAGTGTCGCTCTGTTCGTTACTGCATCTCCCAGGACACAGTTACTGGTCTCCGGGAATTCAGCAGCACACATACAGATGGTCCCACAACACTACACCCTGCGTGCAGTCCCTTAGCGCCAGCACTCATCTGAAAGAGGACTCGCTGCCTGAATCCCGCTCAGAACCACAGCATCTCTCTATAAAGCCCACCTTCATACACAATTGCCCTCAAAAAAAGTCCTAAAAATCTACTATCAACCTTTTCAACAGGAGCATGGCCTCCCCAGAGATTCCGCAAGCATTTATTATCAAATCTAGCGAGGGGAAAAACCACAATAAATCATATCCGCGTACACAGGCGCCAGTGCATAGTAGAAAGCCGCAGTGTTTTATGCTCTGGGAACACTGAAGGATACCAGCCGGGGCTCGGGGGCAGCAGGAGTCATCGCCCTCACGATGACAAGCGATATATTGCCCAACACGAAAAGCAAGAGGAAAAGTCAAAGTTCAGGCGGGCAGCCCACAGCGCTGGGCGGCATCTGGCCCTGGGTCCGAGCCGGAGGTGAGAAGCGCTCGTGATTATGCAGGAGCTCCTCCGCAGGACATCTCCAGGTTGAGGACCAGGTCCCATCATAAATAACCGGCACAAGGGAAGTGCCAAGATGCAGGATTAGCACGCAAGCACAGCGGCTTTGGTAAAAAGCACCAATATTTATTCTGCGCTGAAGCAGAAGAGGAGGAAGATGCACGGCAGGGGTGCAAGTTGCACCGTTCTTTTCCCTTCTCTCCATCACGTTGTACACAGCTACTCCACCAGTTAAAGAAGTAAAAATAGATTCATACGCGCTGACCTGATGGGACACAGGACTACTCTGGGGCTTGTACTAACATTAAGGGGTTTTTCTTTTCGAAACAGCAGCAAGAAGAAAAAAGCCTAAAACAGAGCATCTGGAGTGAAGGGCTGATAACCTGCTTTCGGTAGCAAGAGAAAACGATTCAGAGCAAATCCCCAAGAGAAGTCGTCCCTCTTCCAGCTTCACTCTAGACCAGTACAAGCACGTCCCTGGTTTCCAGCGACCCAGCCCCGCAGCCCTGATTTCGCAGGCTGGAGGTACATACTTCCAGAGTGAGAGAGCTCTTTAAGGCAGCCCACCCATACGTACACCACCGACATTCATCTCCCGCAACGCCGTAAACTGGCGCATTCAGGCACCGGCAGACAAAGCCATGGCTCAGCAGGGGATGCGATGACGCCCGGTGGCCTTTGCCGAGGGTCCCATTGTCTGACCTGGGGCCTGTCATGCAGATCCCCTATTGAAAAGCCAGCGGCCCTCACGCCCTTGGCTTTCAGCGGCCAGTCCAGGGCGCTTTGCTGACCACACAGCAGGAACGGGGCAGCTGGAGACATGGCATGTGCTCGTAGGGCGAGACCACCCAGCTGTCCCCCACCTGCGTCCAGACGACATCCTTACATCACGCTGAGCTGTCCTCACCTCAGCCCGCATCTTGCCAAACTAACATAATACACACCTATAGGCCACGGCACTTCGCTTCCGAGCTCTCTGGGGTGCAGGATATATAAATAGTGGTGTAACGGATTTACCTGGGATGGGATTGAGGAAGAAATAAGGATTAAGAGCATTTTTATAGCTTTACCTGCTCTTTAAGATTGGGCCCTATATCATTTTCACACGGGAAGAACTGCTGTAGGTTGCAACGGCACCTCCACCCAGGAAGACACCAGCCACTGCTTTGCACCCTAAATACATGCAATTAAAACCTGGTGCAAAGCAATGCCGCTTTTTTCCTGCTTAACCTTTCTCGACAGGTCTAGCTTCCTTAGAAAACTAATCACTACCTAAGCCATGACGGGTCGAGAGCCTCTTACCTCCTCCCCACGCCAAACCCTTGGCAAGCACAGCTTTCACACAACAGCACAGCTCATTTATTATTTTTGAGGGGAGGTGGCAGCATTCTTCTCCTCTATTTGGATTTAAAAACCAGGCCAGCCAGCCAGGCACCATGACGTCCCCACGGCATGTATTTTAATCCTAGACCAAAATAATTTTAACTGTGCTTTCCTGCTTCTCCTTAGCAAGCCATTTAAAGCTTCTGAAGCCAAGGAAGACAGATCAGTTTGGGGAAAAAAAATTTGGAAATAAAAGCACAAGGTAAAACTCCAGTTCATACCAGCCTTGCAAAGATGTAGAACAAATGAGGGGAAGGGAATGTGTTCAAGACCCGCCTGGACAAGGTCCTGTGCAGCCTGCTGTAGGTGACCCTGCTTCGGCAGGAGGGTTGGACTAGATGACCCACAGAGGTCCCTTCCAACCCCTACTATTCTGTGTGATTCTGTGTGAGTCCCTGGTGCCTTGAGCTCTTTTTTGGGTGGAAAACAAGCAGCTGGAGACCTTTTTTTTTTAAAGCACTTAAGTCCCAATAAAATGCAGTGCGTCCCAGAGTTTTGGTATTGCAGAGATGGTCTATCTTTGTAACTGTAAATGAAGAGAATAAATATTTCTGATGTCTGAAGACACAGATACCCAAACAGATCGCAGAGCCAGCTCGCTTTGAGTGCGTTCCTGTTTCCCCTCTGTGCTGCACAGCAAGGCATCAGAAGCTAACCCAGAGCACGAGATAACTGAAATACAGATCAACTGGGAAGGGAAAACTGAACCTAAAACACACGCCCTTCATGATAACTGGAGGACATTGAGCTTTTTCAACTTCCAGTACATCAAATAAAGTAACGCATCCAAGTCCAAAGGTCGTATTCCTCACTGGAGAGAGGGGAAAAAGTCAGCTTGGCTATTGAAATCCCATTGCTGTGCGGCCCTTGGCTGCAAACAGCCCCGCAGCCTTGCAGCTAAAGGCTGACAGCCCTTGGTGCTGGCGTTCCCAGGAGCACGCTGCCAAGCCGATGCTGCTAGCGTGGTACCTCCGGCGCGGGGCTGGTTTTCGGGGGGGTGGGTGCCCGGAGGTACCCGCCCCCCCCCCGGCCGCGCCTGGCACGAGAGCCGGCAGGACGGCGGCGCCGAGGAGGCAGGGCTGCAGATGAAAGTGCCCGGTCCTGCTGAATGGCAAAGATGTCTACACCAGTACAGCGCAAGTTGTGGCACGATAAAAACACACCAGACCTCAAAGCCCAGCCCTCCATATCTTTTTTAGGGGGGAATAAACCCCATATCTACCTCCTTATTATCTGAAATACTATTTTCCTGCTCCTTGCAGTGCAGGGAGTCAGTGCAGCCAAAAGGCAGTGATATATTGAGCAGAGCTGGGCAATATGAAAAGCCGTAGCTCTGGCAGACAAGCAGCCCATCCTGTAAAACAAACAACATTCCAGCTTTTACCTCTCCCTTGCCTCTCAGAGTAAACCCAAGAAATTGCTGTAATTAGTCATCACGCTGGTGCCATGCTCCCCAGACTGCATGGAAAAAAAAACATCAGTATTTAAAATTAGTCACCCTTCCATCAAAGGATCAATATTTCTGGCACAACGGTCGGCGTTCCTCTGCTGCTTTTCCGTTTCTTTCCTGCACCTTCTGACATCGCTTTCTGATTGTGGCCAGTTATTTAACCACGTGAGTCATCGCCCTGCTGTGATATTTGTAGGTTCATACGTTAGCGCTAAAAACAATTAGATGACTACTGCAAACATTATACCTGGTGTTCAGCTCAAAAACCTACACCTGAAGTATTTCTTCCCGTCAGCCTGTACGTTTAGGCCTAAAACCCAGCATTACTGATATTGTCTGATGTTCCGCAGCGTCAGCCAAGCCCTTTAGAAAACCTACAGCTCATCCATAAAGTTTGTTATCAGTTGCCGTCTGATCAAAGACCTTGCCAAACGCTCCCTCCCCATGAGACAACAGTAACTTCCATTCATTATTCCTTATCATACAGTTTTTCTGTTACTCCCTTCAGCATTTCTAGAAGACACAGTGACCTCTAACTATTTAAAATTCTCTCGCTTGTCCTTTTATGCTCCATACGAGCACTCCTGGGATATTTCGTATAAATCCTGAAGAGAGATAGCCCCAGCCAATTCTATCTACCACTGCCTGCTGACTTTAAACGACTCATGCCTGGTAGATGACGTCTTCCCACAAAACCAGCAAATCACTCACCCCTAAAAAAGGGGTTTGTGAGTCCTCCCTCACTTCCCCCCCCGCCCCCATCCCCAAACCTCCTGTTCTTACTTCACCTCGGCTCACTGCATCTTAGTATTCTAGGTCATAGGTTTAGAGATTCAGTCTGAATTTAATGATTTGTAGCTGCAGTTTAATACTGGAATCCACCCACAAACACGCAACACTTTGTTGCAGGGAAAGCAGACACCGCAGATCTGGAGAACTGCTTTAAAAAAAAAAATCAGTTTAAGTCAGCAAACAAGTTAATCCAGATTAGCCTTCTGTGCATAAAGTGCATTAATAATGCTTCTGTAGCGACCGAGGGCTGACCAGAGCCAGGACACTGCCAAAGAGCGAGACTAAAACAGCTTACATGCTCCGAGGGCAGTGGCTTTAGTAAGACAACTCATTTCGGATCGAGTATAACAGCGGCACGCTCAGGGGAAGCCCCGGGTGGGCAGCAGAATAAATTACAGAGCACACAGCACCCTTTGGTGCAATATCTGGGCCTTTTTCAGGTAATTTCTAGCTAGCCTTAAACCTCACCAGTTGCAAAAAGGCTGCAAAAACTGAGGGGAAAATACATGTGAATCTGCAAGTCATTAATAAGAACTTTATTAGCATGGCCACTTAACTACAAGCTACAAACGGTGGTGCCTTCCTTATTCTTTAGGAGGACAAGGAAATCTTTGAAGAGCACAATGACTTCACCAGAGCTTCCCGCAGCGTCTCCTGGGCTTGTCTTGGCAGGAGGCTGCGCATCAGTTGCTTCATAAATTATTACTTGGGAATATGAAAATTTTATGTCTGCTTGCTCTTGGAACCGCACTGCTTACACCATGTTTGTTTACCTTCAGAAAAACGAAATTTTCTCCCCGGAAGAACTGCCTCCAGGGGGGCTCAGACCCGGTGACGAAGCCACAAGGACGGAATTTTTGTCATATTTGACTACGTCACCTGGCAGAGGAGGCTGCGGCGGCTCGATGGTATTGCAGTACAAATAACAAGTTTTATTTAAGCATCTTTCCCCCGCAACGGGAATGCTTTTTCTGTTCTCTTCCTAAAACTTTGAAGCAGGGCAAAAATTCACCCATATGTTAAGTGGCATTGTTGACTGAATCGCTTCCATCAGCAAATCCACCTTCCTCAAAGCTTCTCATGTGCAGCTCTGTGTTTTATTTTCAATTAAGCCACGCTCAGCCTGCTCCAAATTATATTACTCGCAAATGTAGTAGATGAGCGGCTACAGCAGCAGCCAGCGTACGTCCCTGGGTGCTGCGGGTATGCGAGAAGTCCCACCCAAGCTCCATTGCCACTTCCCAAGAGCAACGAGCCAATAACCACGGCAGGCAGCTACCGCATCCCTACTCCTGTGCGAAGCGCTTGTGTTGGCAGCGCTGCGGGTTACACCGACCGGCGGGGACTCTGCCGCGGCGACAGGCACGTGTGGCACTGCCAGGTCCCGTGCGATGCGGTGCCAGCCCCTCAGCTGCAGCTTCCCGTCGCCAGTCAGGGCCGGCAGAGCTTTTCCCCAGCAGCTACTTACTGTGCGAGAAGCGTTGCGTGATGGGGGTGCCAGGGTAGGGGTAAGTGCGACTCTCCCACTGAATATTTCCTTCTTGCACTGCTTTGATAAAGCCGTGATAACACTGATGGGCCACACCTAGGGAAAAAAAAGATGTCAGCAAAATTTGGGGCACGTTAAGAACAAACCGTGCCTGCACAGTTGCACAAGCAGCGTGACAGCAATTATAAAGAGCCTCTGGATTTAGATTATAAATACACTGCTGGAAATTCAGAAGATTAAAGAGAATAAAGAATAGGGACTCCGCAAATGTGAAAAATCAGCAGCTTTCACTGAACTGATTCACTACATTTCCGATATCTGTCAGCTCTAGCGTGGTAAAACAAAGCCTTTGTGAAAGGTAAGCACATGTGCTGCCTTTGCAGAGCTGCTTTTCAGCCCTCTCTGCCGCAATGCAAGCCTGCCCTCTCCTAATCACGCCCCCAGAGGAGCCGCTGCCTTTCCCTTAATGGACCTTTGAGGATAAATAACCTGCAATAATGAATTTTTAAGAGCGTGCATGCAGTTACCGCACAGGAATCTAAAATAAATACGAGAGTAGACACTGGTGATAAGAGTCTTAGGTGAAAATGCTCCTCCTTAGCCATGCGAGGGAGCGCATCTGGCCGACAACAGCTCCTCCGTGGAGCAGGCTGGCTCCAGAGCTGCAATTAATTCTGCGTATGGAGCACATGTGCCTGTGTGCGTGCCGAGAGGGGCCAGAGGCCGC